AATTGCATCGACTGGATACTGGGCAGAGCTACTGTTCAAAGTCATTGTGGAGCAACTCTGGGCAATATCAAGGTTACAGACCTTGTCTTTGCTGATGATGTTGCTATTCTATCTGAGTCTTTGGAAACCTTAGTGGTGGCTCTGGATGCATTTAGTAATAAAGCGAAACCCTTGGGTCTAGAGGTCTCCTGGACCAAGACCAAGATCCAGGACTTTGGGGACTTGCTAGGAGAACCTGTCCAGTCGGTACATGCTTGTGGTGAGGACATTGAAGTCACGGAGAGCTTTACATACCTTGGTAGCGTAGTTCATAACTCTGGGCTGTCACACCAGGAAGTCAGCAGACGGATTGGCCTAGCAGTAGGGGTCATGACCTCTCTCTACCAGAGTATTTAGAGATATCGGTACCTGTGCAGAAGAACCAAGTTACGGGTTTTCAAGGCCCTGATAATGCCAGTTTTGCCATACGGTAGTGAAACCTGGACATTATCTTGTGCCTTAGAGCCTCGACTTGATGCCTTCTGTAATAGGTCCTTGATCATGGGGTACAGTTGGCGGGACCACGTGTCCAACCAACGGCTGCACCATGAGACTGGCACAGGACCTGTTACCTGCACAATCCGTGATCGCCAACTCAGGCTGTACAGCCACCTGGCTCGTTTCCCACAGGATGATCCTGCCCATCAGGTTGTCTCTGCAAGAGACAACCCTGGGTGGAGGAGGCCTGTGGGACGACCTAGGAGATCGTGGCTTGGGCAGATCGATCAAACCTGTCGTGAGGAGCTTGAGGTGGGCCAAATCCCTGCCTGGCGGCAGGGTGAATGCGGCTATGCACCCCCGCCGGCGTTAGCCCCTAACGATGAATGATAATAATATTTATTATCGACATACCATTATAGAAGTTAGGGCTTATGCATGGGTAAAAAAGATTGCTTTTTGCTGTAGCATGAGACAATTATGACATGTATGACTTCATGTAATCAGTGTTCTATTACATTTAATTTTTAAAGGTAAATTCAAATTTGCTCTTTAATGGCCCACGTTCAGTAAAATAAAGAAATATTCAATGATAATTACAATCTAATGGCCCAAGTTCAGTAAAATAAAGAAATATTCAATGATAATGACAATTTAATGGCCCACGTTCAGTGAAATAAAGAAATGTTCAGTGATAATGACAATATCACCAGTCTAACTAATGATACAGCACAAGATGGAGAAAAAAAAAAGACTTTACAAGAAACCAGCAGGATATAATTATTAATTTGTTCATAAAATAATCTTATTATTTTTCTATAATAGTCTTAAAATAAAATAATGTTAGTTGTACTTACATAAAATTGTCATGATGAAAACCATATAAATTATCTATCGTGATGTCTCGCAGCACTTTTATTTAAATTGTTCAATCTGTTCATATGCTTATATACATACACACACACACACTCATATGCATACATACATAATGTATATACACAGTGCACGTCAGAAATCTTGGCGTGAGTCTTCTGACGTTTTACGGAAATGCCCCTCTAATATCATGCAAATCGACCTATAATCTTGACGCCCCGTCAGCTGATAGATTACTCATCTAACTCCACATTGGCTGTTTCAGATATTACTCGATTACCTCTGGGCAGTGACAGTGAGCAGAATTGCTGCGTGCTTTTTTCGTGAATAGCCTAGCATTTTGTCTGAGTTCTGTTGCTGTTTTTGGTCAGTGTGTCTTGATGGTTGCCTCAAGCTTGGGGATTGATGAGGTATCATGCTCACGTAATTTGTTTTCATTAGTGCCTACAAGTTTTCAATAAGATTTAAAGCTTTGCATTATGGCAAGGTGCACCATCCTGCATAAACACTGCTCAAAGCAATCTTCCAAATTGTCACTCAGTAGCTCCATTTATCTGTTTGCATTCATCAATACATTCCTTGGTACTATTACCAATGTCCCCACATAGTGGTAACCATAGGCACATCACACCATCATCTGGATATTTCAGTCCCTTGGATGAATCTCGGGTCACACGGATCACTTTCATATGGCGATAAACTTTGCCATCTCTGTTTCCAGTTACATTCATCATCGCTCCATAAAAAGCGTTTCCCCTTGTCCTCGTCCCCCTGAAGATATTTCTTGCAAAAAGCAACCATATTTTGCTCTGCTTAAGAGTAAAAATCGGTTTCTTGCGAGCAGTGCGGTGTGAAAATTTCAAGTCATTGTAAATTAGTCGCTATATGGTCTCACAGACACACCAGCCAGTAACACAGGGTTCCTTTCTTTTAATTTTGGTGCTGTTATTCGTGGCTGACTATCCACCTGCCTCCTGAGCACATTTAATGTGCGTTTACATGCTTTCTGTGGCCTCCCTGGCTGCTTTTTCTGCAGCGGCGGGTCAGTGTCTCCACAGTCATGAAATTTTGTTGTCCACCTCTGGACACTTGTTTTTGATATTTCTCTATTGGACTTTCCCGCCTTACAGAATGCTGTAATAGCAGCAAT